CATATCCCCCATGGAGGGATAACTGCCTTAATCTAGAGACAGGAGAGAAGCCCTAGTCCCTACTTCTCATGACCTGTCAGATCTACATGACCCCAACTGGATGGCATTCCCCTACATATGGAATTGGGGTGGGGGATGGGAGGGGAGGGTGGTTAGAGGCATGTGAGAGGGCAGAGAGGGTAAAAGGGAGGGAAGGAGGGAGGGAGGGATAAAGGGAGGGAAGGAGGGAGGGAGAGGGAACTGGGATCGACATGTAAAATATTAAATTAAATTAAAAAAAATGCTTTGACTCCAAAATTTAAGTTGAAGAACAAGTTACTGGGGAAAAGGATTTCTATTTTTGTTTACACAGAAAATGAAAAGATGTGGAATCCTTCCAGACTAATGTGGTTTGATCACGCCAGACCGCCTGAAACTGAGTACAAGGTGATCCTACATTCAAAACAGCTGGACAAAGCAGCCTTACAGACTACAACCAGGATTTCTGAATCTTCTTCGAATCCCCCATGACAGCGCCCCTTACCAGCAGGAAGTAGTTTGGAAAGAACGACGCCCAAATTCCCAAATATTGTGTATAAATGTTTGTTTTCATTTAATTGGACTTGGTTATATAAAATAAAATAAATTAAATTAATAAAAATATATATGTGTACATATACAAATGTCTATTTCTGTGAATGGATTTGGAGGCCCTTTCTATAGCTTTTCTAGAACATCTAGTCTTAGAGGCTTTTATTTTAACTTTTCCTTTAAGATTTCAAAGTACTGGAAATGTAGGTAGTATTTAAGATGGAAAGACATTTGTTGTTGTTTTTCTGATGGCTTATCATCACACACTGTCTTGAACTTATTCAGTTACTGAAATTTACTGTCTTCTTTATCTATTTATATCAGTGTAGAAACCATTGTTTGACCAAACATTGACAGTTCTGATATTGATCATTTATATATTTTGTGTCTTTGAATTAATGATGTCATTTCTATTAAACGGGTTTCTATATCAGTAGAAATAATGAATTTGTACTGTATGAAATCTGAAGGCATTTCTAATTTAGGAGTCCTAAGATTAATAATAAAACTTGTACAGTTATTGTCATATACCAGATTAATTCATTTGTATTATTTGACTATTTTCTACTGAACATTTTGAGTAATCCTTGTCCTTGAATAATTTATCATTTATATTTGCATTTGAAGGCCTAGAAGGAGCACAGATCGTTTTCTTTCAATTTCATACCATGCACTGTATGTTTTGTTTAATTTTCCTTTGATCTACATGGATACCTGATTGCATGTGATATTTGGAGATACACACTAGAACTAACACTTGCAGATAACATAGACTTAAAATTGGATGAGCATGTGCTTGATGGCTTCTTCTTATACCCCCAAATTTATGGGTTTTCCCACTGTACCTGTCTGATTTCATCCCACAGGTACTTTCCAATGCCCATCCACAGCCACAGCCTTGGTCATCAAGCTCTTCTCTCCTCTTCAGCTTGTTCTTTTTTTTTTTTTTTTTCCACACAACTATACGGCTTGTGAATTACAAACTCCAGGTGTCCTTATTTACTTACACACTGACCTTCCAGCCTTGACTCTGAGCATTGCCACCATTTTCATGCAATTCTAAATTTCTCCAGGGGTTAGCCACATCTGCTTTGGGAAGTTTCAGTTAACAGACACACACACACACACACACACACACACACACACACACACAATATTAAAAACAAATCTTTTGCAGAGTAGGTGGCTTTAAACACTATAAAAATCGCTGTTAGTTCTCACAAATTGAGAGACTAGAACAATCAAGAGATCAAGGTGTCAACCATTTGGTTGATTGTCTGCCTTCGAGACAGATGACTTATATCTGAATAAAAGACTGACACTTAATGAGAGGAACCTCCAGGATATTTTAGAGACTGAGTGAGATAAACAATTGTCTTGGTAAAGAAGGGTAAACAAAATTCTGTTAAGTTCTTATAGAATTCCTTGTTGAAGCTAAATCACTTCCCAGGGAGGGAGCTATAGGGGTGTTTAGAGCTGCAGCCAGACTCATGACCATAGGAATATCACACAGGCTCCCATTATGAGAGCCATTGAGTCCTAGGTGCAGCCCTCATTATTTTAGGCAGTTTGAAGGTAAACTGGTATGGGCTAACAAATCATGTATATTTCCTATGGTTTCAGGAAGAATGGGAATAGCTGGACATTTGAGTGGAAGGGGGAGAGTAATCAAGCAAGGCTTGTGCTTGTGATGAGGTCTGGATATCTGGACCCAACTCTGAGGTTAAATAGGTGAGAGACTTCGAGATATCAGCAAATAGAATGTCAAAAACAACGATGAGTAAAGCTGGCTCGGTAAAACTTACACACACAGCCAATCCATAAGTATGAGATAAAAAAAAAAAAAAAATGTACAATTCACCCTGCAGGCTGTCTGGTGAATACATACTGAATTCGTTTTCTTGGTGCTATGTTTCCTCTTTGGAGGAGTGGTTAGTTACATGGGTAAGCAACTGCATAATGAATCATTCTACAACCATAACATTGCTTCTGATCCAAAGAGGGTGGCTATTAATATCATGTGGTATGATTCTCTGTGTGACATTTGAGAACAGTGGTGCTTTATAGAAACTTGTTACTTCCTTCTATCAGAAAATTAGTATATACACTTAAAAAAAAAAGACAAGAAAAAAAGAAAAAGAAAAACTAAAACTCATTTTACTGCCATCTACTGGAAAATCATGTCATTCAAATGAGTAACTTAGTAAGAAAAGCCTGAACATAATCATTTGTATACTATAAACACATCCTGGTGCCAGTGGATTGCTGAATGTGTCCATGTACAGAACTTGCTGTGATGACCTCTTCTGGTTACAGTGGCAAAGTGGTGAAGAGAAAGGCTCAGAGTTCCAGTTTTGTGGAGAAACCATGTAAGATATTGAAGAGAAATAGTCTTAGTAGCCCTAGGCTTTTCTCCTCTCCTCTGCTCTGCTCTCCTCTCCTCTCTCCTTTCTTCTCCTATCCTCTCCTCTTCTCTCCCCTCCCTCTTTCCCTCCTCTCTTCCTCCCCTCTCCTCCCCTTTTGATTTTTAGTTTCTGGATTTTATATATAGGTATAGACAGTATCATTATTTGAGAAAAGATGTGATGGAGAATTCAAGAATGCTTCAGAGTGGCAGTGATTTGATTTTGAACTACAAGAGCTTGACTCAGCAGTAGCAATGAATATTATGATGGTAGACAGGCTGTTCCTGTTCAGTCTTTAGGGAACTAGGGAATGGGAATGATTCCATGTGGCCTAACATATTCATGTATTTTGAGAGAATTATTACATCATATGTAGTGAAATCACAACTTCTCTTTTCCATTATCCTTCTTTAAGATCATTTTATTTTGAGTTCTTTTTTTTTTTTTTTTGGTGGGGGGATTGAGACAGGGTTTCTCTGTGTAGCTTTGGAGCCTGTCCTGGAACTAGCTCTGTAGACCAGGCTGGCCTTGAACTCACAAAGTTAGGCTTTCCCCTGCCCCCCGACTGCTGGGATTAAAGGCATGTGCCACCAATACCTGGTCATTCTTGGGCTTTAGTCACTACTGAGACTCAAAAATTCAAGTCTAGATGGCCATTAACTTCTGTCATCTCTAAAACAGATTCTTCAGATATGAAATCAGACCATGGGTGACTTGGAATTTTCAGGGGTAGTGTTTGTAAACCAGATGGAACTAGTTTTCTTGTTATGGCTTCATAAAGAATCCAAAAAGATAAAAGAAAGGGGGAAATGAACTATTTTTCCTCCCTAGGGAGCTCCAACACATTAATTTAGTAACACTTCCAAACACTGCATCTAGATTGCAGACTGATTGTTTTATTATTTTACCATTTTATTTATCTGATACTGCTTCCCACCTTTCTTCCATGTCCTTAATTGTTTGTTTGTTTGTTTAATGATCTCCCACTGGTTTGATACCATTTTGTAATGTCTATGCTCTCAAGTGTTGTCTTCTTCCCATCACATTTCATGTACAGCTATGCAGAGGACCTGTTCACTAGAAGACTGGGAGGATGGGAGCTGTCAGGATTTCTTCTTCATGTTTAGGAGCGTGTTCTCCAGCCCTGAGGTTTAAGAAGCAAGAGCCCAGCTAAGGCAGGGCAAAGATGAGAAGCCTGTAAAAGGAGTGTCCCTAGAGGACTGTGAACTGGGAGAGGCAAAGTGGAGCCAGCCTGCCAGGTTAGTAGCTAACTGTTTGCTACTATGGAAATTAAAACTGGAGCTAATGAGATGGCAGCCACCTCCTGAGAGTGGGCCTAACGCAACCTATTAATTCTCTTTTCCAGGTATCTTTGCCTCAACGATCTTAAAGTTGTTTCCTATTTGTTTAGAAGCACGAGACTGGGAAGACAAAATAATTTATAGAAGAGAAATTGGAGGTAAACTCTTATTACACTCTTCCTGAGGGTGTTCGTCACTAAAAATCATATCCTAGGTCATGAAAAAAGGATGGGGGGGGGAAGTCTGCATAAATAAGAAACACAAACAAGATGACTCAGGCCGTCTCAAGGGGGATTTCTGGTGCGTGGGCATTAATAAATCTGCTACTGGCTTTGTAGACTCAGCAATGTTAGCCTACCACTTCCAAGCACACCAGTCGATTTTGAGGACTTCAGGTGCTGAGCAGTCCTGGCTGTGCCCACTCCCCCCCCCCGCCCCCTCCCCTCACCCAGACTCGCTGCAGAAGTCTGTTCAACTCGCAGGCCACCAGGAGAGTGACTGGAAGTCTCTGGATATCGCTCGGTCCTGGACAAACACTTAAGGGTCACTTTACAGACTGGGATTCCAGCTTCTGTTCGCACTTTCGTCCCTTATGAATGCAGCCAGGTCTTTGCTGGAGGGCTAAGCTGAAGGAGCCCTGACTGGCTGGAAGAAGACAGGCAGCTGCAGGCTGTGGTGACAGGGACCTTTCGGAATGAGGATGTAAGAGTGGACAGCTTGCGAACTTGTCCCCTGGCCCCATGACTCCAAGGAGGTCTGGGAGAAACCCTAGCGGGATGGACCCGGGGCGGTGCAGCTGACACCCCCGGCGGCGCCGCGCGGCCCCTCTCCACCCGCGAGTGTGCGCGCGAGCGCCAGGCGGCGGCGGGAGGAGGCGCAGGCGCGCTGCTCGCCCGTCTGCAGCCCCGCGCCGAGCGCCTCGTCTCGGGGAGTTGATGGCAGCACCACAGTGCGGCCGCCGGCCGAGCGCACAGCGCAGCCACCCGCCGCTGTCCTCCGAGCAGCCGATATGTGGGGGGACTGGGGTGGGAGCGGCCGGAGCAGCGCCAGGGACCCGGGCGCGCAGCAGCCTCTGCTCGCTCGCCTGTCCTGACCTGGCTCGCTAGTCCCCCCCGAAGAATGTCAGCCAAGTCCAAAGGGAACCCCTCCTCGTCCTCTGCAGCCGAGGGACCTCCGGCAGCCTCCAAAACCAAGGTGAAGGAGCAGATCAAGATCATAGTGGAGGATCTGGAATTAGTCTTGGGTGACCTGAAGGACGTGGCCAAAGAACTTAAGGAGGTGAGAGGGGCTGGGTTGGGGAGGGAATGGGGCGACCCTCGCCCTTCGGGTTCTGATCCCCCTTTTCGCTTGGGACCATCGCATTTCCAAACTCCTGGCAACTACTGAGGGATGTCGGCAGACCGACTTTCTTTGCTCTGGCTACTCGTGAGAAGAGTTGTAGCACTTTCTGTCTCTCTCCTTTTTTTTAATCAGACAGAAATCAACTAGTGTTTTAATGGATAGACTCTCGAGGATGGTGGGAGGGATGGAGGCAAAGTACTGTGTATATAGGACTGTCAGTAATGTCAGGGGAAGGGGTTAACTGGGGGTGTGTCATCGGAGAAGACGTGAGCACCGGCTGGCCCAAGCCAGTGTGATGCTCTTTGCCTATGGTGCTGCTCCCCTAGAATCCTTTGGCAAGTCCGCTCCTAGCCTGGCAGCCCCAGGAAGCTGAGCTGAAAGGGGGTGGCTTCTGGGCCCTGGGCCAGGCCAGGGAGGGCACTGGGAGGGGGAAGCTCGGTTCTGGCTAGCCTCCCCTCTTCTCAAACCCCACTAATAAGAAAGCGACCCTGGGTGCTGACAGCAGATTCCAGCTTTGGGGAAGGGGAGATGTCTGGGACTTTCTCACTTTCGCAATTTCTGAAGCATCCTCTGCCCTTTTTCAAATGTTTCCAGAAACTCTGGGCCTTCTCGCCACCCCGAGTGTCGCCATTCTTCACTTCCTTCCTTTAATTCTGTCATCACTTGGCATTGAACCTAAGCAGTAGGGTTTACAGTGTGTGTGTGTGTGTGTGTGTGTGTGTGTGTGTGTCGCGCGTGCTTTTTGGTCACTTGCATCCTGGCCTTTTAGAACTGGATTGCCCCCTCCCCTCCGCCCCCAACCCCCACTATCCTACTCCCTCTGTACTCCGCCCCTCCCCACCCGGGTGAACTGGACTGGAAGAGGTGAGGTGTCAGTTGAGCCTGCCTAACTCAGGCAGCCTAAACTGTGAGGGCCAGCATGCAGGGGGTGGCTCTCCTTGTCATCCAGGCTGCCTCTTGTGTCTGGGGAGCTGTTGGCTATGCCCACAGTGCTGTTCCACTACTCCACTATGGAGTGGGACTCCTGGTGCGGTTCTCGGTGAGGGAGTTTGCAGTTCCAGCTGCAAGAAGGCAAACTTCTTAGGTGGTGGTGGTGGTCTCTTTGGAAAGATAAGGAGAGGGGCAATCATAGCCTGGGTCCTAATTCAAACTGGGTTTCTGAAGCCAAGTGGGAGGAGATTTGGGGCTGTTTGGCTGACTGGCCTCCAGAGATTACCCTCCTGTCATCTCCAGCCCAAATGTGCAGATTCTTCCAGGCATTACCTATATGAACAAAACCCCGAGTTTGTAACCAAATTCAAAGCCTGTTGAAAGGATCCATTCCTGGCCAGAGTTAGTTTTGCTGGTGATGAATTAATTCCTGTAGGTTTCTCTGCAAACAAAACACAATTACTGCTAAGGTCCTTAAAGTGGTGGAAGCCATTGACAGGTCAGGAAACTTGCTTGTGTTTGCAGGGTTTCCCTAGGCTTGTTTCACAACCAGCTAGCAAATGGAGAAGCTATGCACCAAAATCCAAGTCTAAAGATGTTTATTTCTTTGTTATCCTTTTACTAGCCATGCTTGACTAGTTGTTTTCATTTGCAACATTATTGTGGATTTAAAACTGAATAACTTAGAAGAGTTCCTCTTGGCACATCCCTGCTTTGCCTTTTTTAAAAGGTAATGGATGTAGAAAACCAATAGCATCAAAGGAGCATCAAAGGATATAGCTTGTTTTGTTTACAGGGTGAAACTAAAAGAAAGGTAGGCAGCCAACATTTTTGCCTCTGAGGGTCATAGTAATGTGTCAAGACACTCACTGTTTTGGAAAGAACAAACCAGAAGCATTTTAAGGCCAAGAAAATATATAAGGAATGTATAACCTCTCTCTGGTTTGTGGCTAGAATTAGAGATGTTGATCTTCCCATGTATTTCTTTAAACACCCCCCACACATACACATATTTAAGAGGAAAAAACCAGTTCTTCATAAAGGAATGGGAATTTAACAAAACAGATGAAGAGAGCTGGTAGAGGTAGAGAAAACATGTTCATTTGAGGCCTTGCAAGGTTTCATTCACTACCAGAGCCTATTTGGTTAAAAATCTCAGCACAAACCTGAAATGTATGAGTGATAAATGATGTGTTATGACAGTCAGCTAACTTTGCTATGGATAATCACTGTCCTAGCTCAAATGCAGAGTGTATATGCTAAAGCTAAATATTAAAACAGGCTATTTATAGAAGAAGAAAGGGAGTTATTTCCAGGACAAAATATTTATAGGGCATGTTTAGCCTATGACATCTTACAGTTGTTCAGCCTGGATCTGTCCTGGATAATGCATCATACATGACTAAGCATGTCTTTCTTGAAGTTTTAAGGAAGCACGTAACTGGAAACTAGTAAACTCTGCAAAGCCTGTACATTCTTCTACCTGAGACTTGTACATGTAAATGTTGCAATTAATATATTGTCACATCTAATATTCGGACAGCTTTAATGATGCATATTTATATATAATATGAATTATTGTATTCAAATGCAAACTCCTTTACTGATAACACTAAGCTTTTAAACCATAATGTTTTCATATAATTTAACAGTGAACTTTTATTAACTTGGAATGGAAACTAAAGTAATAACATAATTTTGACTGAATCACTGTCAATTTCATTTTAATTACAACTTAAGGCTGAAACATTCTGCCTTTTATCTTTATACAAACCTCACCTATAACACTGACTTTTTGTTTTACTTTAATATTTAAAGTTAAGGCATAATTACATCATATTCCCCATTTCCTCTCCTCCCTCCAATCACATTTGCCCCCTCCTTTTCTCTCTCTCAGATTCACAATTGATTATTTTAATAGTATCCTTTTGAATTTCGGTAGGCAGGGTAGATTTGAACACTGTGCTAGCTGTTTGAAATACTTAATAATTAGTAAGAAAACTCCAGTCTGTTCAGGAAGAGAAGTCCTTGTTGTATCCTCTTCTAATTTGTTGATGACTTATAATTATTTAATTAGTTATAATTGAATTGAGTATTACAGAGAGGATTTCTAGAAACCCCAAAAGCTGTTTTATTCATCCTCAAAATTAAATAAAACCTCAAAACAATGTGAGGATTTCAGAAATACTATAAATCATTTAGCTTTATGTGCTATAACAAAGAAATCTCTAAAATATACTTCTCTGTATGTATTCATTGAGCACCTACCATTTTGATTGTTACTAAAATGAGTAACTTTTGTTAATGCTCAAAATTATACTAATGGTATGCTTATTCTATTATCAAACATTAGTCACATAACTCATTATTGCTTTGACTGACTACACTGACTGATGATGTACACAAGGAATTGAAGCTGAAGAAGCAATTAGTGCATGTCCATTTATCAATCTGTACTGGCTATGTACTTTGTAGTGTGGCATTCTGTGAGCAAAGAATGTAAAATTTGAAAGACAACAAGATAAGAACTTTAAGAAACTTAACATTCATCCAGATTTTCATGGTGGACATAAATGAATTTCTCTGCAAGAAATCACTTATTCATGTGTTGTAAGTAAATATTTGAGACCTCCATGAAGGATAAGAGTTTTGTAGAAATATGAACTCATAATGTGAATCTCCCTTTGCAATATGGGTGAAATTGAAAGAGTAAAAAGGAAAAGAGAATGACAAAATGCATCATTGGAATACATGATTCATCCATGTTGTGTTTTCTATAAAATGAAAAAAAAAAAAAGTGTTTGTGAAACTCTAGAGTTTAAGGGATGAAATTAAGCACAACTGGTATAGCATATGTTAGTGTTCAATTTTTCACTAAGAAATGTGGAAACATATCCACTTTTTAAAGCATTTCTTAAATAATTCAAAATGCTGGTAATAATCTGTCATCCCTTTGTAAAGATGGGACTTATGAGACATTTTGCATTAGAATGTTTGTTTGCTGGGATCTCGCATAAAGATACTTAACTCCTTTAGCTGAATTATCTTTTTGTTCAGACTATTTATAGCCTTGAACTTTTCTTGTAACATCTCATTGCCTTAAATCTTGCCACACATAAAATTTATGTTTATAATAATTAAGAGCGGTGCTTGTAAGTGGGTATCATGGATGCAAGATAAGAATTGTTCTGTTAGTGAGCTAGAATTACTCCATGGCTGGATTCCACAGGTAGGCCAATGAATGGAAAACATGCATATGTATTCTCACAATTCCATAAGAAAAAAGAAAGATGCAACTTAAGTTAAACTTAGGAAACTTGGAAAACCCATCTGGCATCGATTAAAAACAGAATGAACAATTATTTGTCAGATATTTTTGCCTTGTAATGTTCTTTCTTTGAAAACATGTTATGTTACTAATTTATGTGTATGAGTGTTCTGCCTGTATGTATATTTGTGCACTATGAAGGCCAGCAGAGGGAATATGACTCCCTGGACCTGGAATTACAGATGATTGTGAGCTAACATGTGGGTGTTGGGAATTGAATGACTAATGCATTATTATAATAAATTTTAGAGAATGATCCCTGTAGTGATTTCTGAGTTCTAAAATTATGAATGAATAGAAGTCAACAGTGCACTTAATAGTAGGAATGACTGTATCTTTACTACTCTGTAGCTTACTTTTCCAAAACTGAGATGTATTTAATAAATGTTAAAATGCATTCATTACCTTTTCTCTTCTTAAATATGGTGCCTTAAAAATGTTACTGAGTGGATGATTCTGTGAACAAAATGATAACTAATAACCATACTCTGGCCCCCATGTCTCTCTCTTTAATGAGTTAAATCATTTAACACAGTGAATTAGCTGGTAAGAAACTCAAGCAACCTTAAAGTAATAGTGTGCTTCAGGAAATGAAGTGATACACAATGAAATCAATATAATAGATTTCATTGTTACCTGGATTGTGTTTTTCCACCCTGCTGCTCTGATGATTTCAGTT